GTTCACAAAAAAATTTAATTTCTTTTATATAAATTTTTTTCAAAGCGAATATTATAATATAATATAATATATTATCCGCTGGGAATACTTTCTCTTCTGGGCCGTAAAGCAACCTATATTTAACTACTTTTTTATATGATTTTACTCATCCAAGCACCACCAAAGCCAAATTAGTTGCATTTTAAACTACGAATTTCAACAACTCAACTTGACAACTGCACAATGTAACCTACAATAATTTATACATAACCACAATTAGATTTATAACTAGCTTAGTTTGTTTTAACCAATGCGACCAACTTGACAACTGTATTTACCAACCAAAACCCTAAATTTGCAACGTTGCCGCAGTTCAGATAAAAAAAAATGAAATTTATGATAATATTTTTTCCAAATATAACTCGACAAAGTAAGCTTACTACTGACCTAGTTCGACATGTTTGCTTAAATTAGTATTGGGTGGCATGTTTTTAGCAAACCAGTCCATATTTAAATAATAACAATAATTTATTTCCAAAATTATTTATAAATTATATATTTTAGAAAGATAATAATATAATATTTTTTACTTACATTGAAATTCTCGATTTTGCTACATTTTATCATTTTGACGTTTAACGTTTGACATATGTAATATTACAGGTTAAGTGTATGAATTTATTTCACAGTGACCTGTAATTTTTAGTTATCTCTTTCTATGAAGTTTCAATTTTTAATTTTATTATTGTACGGCGGTGTATAATAATTTGACTTTTGAACTGCGGACAAAAATGAAGTCTTTCGATATAATGGGTGTTATAATATAAAAATTGTTATACGCTTGAAAAAATATAATTATTTTTTATACAAACAGAAAATTAGTTTAATGATGTACTAAAATATTTTAATTTTAACCTTATATGCATAAGTAAAATGTAAAAATTGACTTTTAGGCTATGAAATGTGCATGTTGTGTTTTTGATGATGATGTGTGTCTTTGTAAATACCCAAATTTATAAAAATAAGTTAAAACAGTTTAAACGTACTCCACACCCAAAAGTCCCACCACGTGACTTTGTTACAAATAATTAAGATTATATTTCTGTCAGTGACAATCTAATTTCATCTTATTTTCTGAATTTATATAAATATGTATTTTTTGTGTTGTAATTATTAAGACCAATAAACACAAAAAATACATATGTATATTGTAATATTTTCAGAAAACAAAACAAAATTATATTGATACGGACATAAAGATAACCTTAATTATTTGTAACAAAGTCACGTGGTGGGACTATTGGGTGTGGACCGTACTGGCGTGCTAAGCCAAACCCCTGTGTCTACAATATTAATTAATAAAGTACCATATTGTACATACAGGGGAATAGTCAAAGGAAGAATAAGAACTTTATCTTCACCAAAAGATCTAATTTTATCAACATTTACGTTTTTGGAAACACAGTGTCTCCATCAAAGCAACTGTAGTTGCATTATTATACATTGTATAATATACAATATCGAGTGCAAAAAGAAATAGGTAATATAAAGTACTGAAAAGACTGAAGAAATAGAGGGTGATTTACAACTTCTAAACGTCTTTGAAAAAAATGGATATAGTATCGGACCACATAACCGGCCGTTGTTTTCTGCTACAGAATCATTGTTCCTTTGGATACCTACCTTAAGTCAATCTCTTATTTTAATAGGGGAGGACGCAAACAAATATTAAATCGCAAAAAACTACACTGTCCAAAATTTTAGCTAATTTTTACCTAAAATATTAGACTATATAGGACCATTGATTTTTTAAGGCAAACTGCTTAAAATGAATTCAGAGGAATATTCCCCTTTTAAATTAGTGAATTCTTTAACTGATATTTTTAAAGAAAATGACAATTAATTAAGCAAAATTACTTAGGTTTCAAAGATGATACACCTTAGATCGTAAGGGATATTGCCTGAGAATAAAAGAATAAATTTTCTGTTTCTAAGGCAATTTGCTTAAATTTTTAGGTAGATTTTAGGTAAGTTTTCAGGCAAATTATTTATATTTTTAGTGAAAATCCTAGCATAGGAATTTTCTTCCAAGTTAGGACTCCTTTATCTTTATGTCCTAGGCGAATTAACAACGGCGGTTCCGGTACTACATGTACCCTGCAGGGTTGGGATTATTTTAAAATAAACTGGGGTCAATGGGAAATTCCATTTAGTTTGGGTTACTTAACTATAGCACTACGAAATGTTCACTTATAGCACAATAATTGTTAACTATGTTGTTATATCAATAGCACACAACGCGGTCTTTAAGCTTTCGTTGATTTTGGCATTATGGTGGACAATATAGGCGCGAATATTTATCGTAAAACGTCGGTATTAGCGATCGTAGCCGATTGCAAGTAAGTCACTAATATTTAAAGGAATTTACCTAAATTAGTTCAATAATTTGCCATAATAATTTAGAACAATTACCTTAATTAAAAGCAAAATTGTCGTACCTAAAAGTAATTGAGATATTGACTAAATATTTAGGTAATCTGCCTATCTTTTTAAATTTGACAAGTTTATTAAGTAAAGTATGAATATTTATCTAGAAGTTAGTGAATACACCATAGAACTAAGGCATTCGTTTCTGCCTAATAAATATTACCTTATTTTTCCTTAACTATATATAACTATAGTTATAATTCTGATTAGGTATTTCAAAAGGCTTGATTTTGAACAGTGTAAATTGTTTTCTCTACGACTACTTAAGAATAGTAACATTCTAGTGTAATTTTTGATCATAGAAAGGATGTTTTTCTGCAATACTGTGCGAGAATATTCCTACTCTTGTTTAAGAATGGTCACAAGTAACGACATCTCCTGGCTGTTTACTAAACGTAAAAAATTTAAAAATATTTAAATATTACTGTATTATTTATTAATTAAAAAATAATAGCAGTTGTATAATTAAGGTTTAGGCACAAAAAATTAGTTATATTTATTGTTTTTCAAATATACAAATCAAAATTATAATAAATTTGATATTAAAATGATAAACCAGTTACCTACTATACCGGCTTTGAAGTTTTGACAGATTCAAACAGTTTAAAAAAAGACCTTTAAAATGTAGAAAAAGAATAGATGTTGACATAGATTACTTGTAAAATTAGTTTTGTATTTGTTACAATGTTTTATTACTTAGTGTAAATAACTATTTTTAATTATAATAAAGATTTAGGCTCACCATTTGTTTAAATTTATTATAATGTACATTATAAAATTGTGACGGCACAAAATGGTTTGACAATACAAAAAACTTAAATGTCAAAAACTGCTTGGTTTCTTTTCTCTGTTTAAAATTATATAAGCGTTACTATTCTTACGTAGTCGTAGAGAAAATAATGTCTGAAACACGTTTGGAATAGCATATTCCACTCTCGTAAAACCGTCACACTCGCCTTCGGCTCGTGTGTCAAATTTTTCCTCGAGCGTAATATGCTGTATTCCAAACTTGTTACAGAATGTACTATTACCTTCCATCCACTACACAGAATAAATAAATTTTTCTTTGAATTCTTTATACTCTCTATAAATGAAATAGTCAAAATTCTACTATTTGAAGTAGTACCAGCATTTTTTACTAATAAAATAGTCGTTTTCACTTTTAAATATTTTTAACTACGTAAATAGTTAAAGTTTGACTAATTTAAGATTAGTCACCATATTTGACTATTTCTGACATTTAAAAGTAACTAATTTCTTTAATCGTTTACGGCCAACAACAAAGTATTATTTGAATTAAATGCATATATCTCTCCATGGTTAAATGACCCATAAAACAAATAAAGATGCAAAAAGTTTAGGTCAAAACAGTAACACAAATAATATATTAAACTTTAAAATATTATGAACAATATTTATTGACAAATAAAATTTATTTTTATAAGAGCGGCTGACAGCCGACTGGTTATGAGGTTAGGTTGACAAGCTTCTCAAGTGACAGACGTGAGTTCAATCCCAGGCTGGGTCAAAACTTTTTTTTTCTACTACCTTAATGGAAAACTTAATTTTCCACCCCCGAGCGAGGGAGGAAAATGCCTCTTTTCCTCCCCGGGAGGAAAAAATATTTCCTCCCCGGGAGGAAAAAATATTTCCTCCCTCTATTTTTTTTAACAATTTTACATTAGCAAGAGTTTTGTACCTTGTCTAGCCTTATTTGATTTGTACGAAAAAGATTTACTCCGTGCTTGTTCAACCATTCTTTGTTTAGTTTAGTGTTTTAGCAGTGTCAACGTTACAAAAAAAACACATGACTAGGTACATTCCTTTTTATATCGCTTTTTCGATTTTTGAGGAAGAAGATTAATTTAAACTACTCTTGCCTCCAGCAAGATCTTGCGGCAGGTCTTCTTCGCTAAAACTCATTTTTAAAACGTAGGAAGAATTTCAAATTTATGATAACCTGACAGCTTATAAAAACTGTTATGTTTGTTTTACCAAAAATACCATAGCAACAAAGCGTTGTCAACACAACGTCGGCGACGCAAAACCTACTTAATATTTTGTCATAATAATTAATACCGGATTAGTAAAAATAACCCTTAAAATGTCTTTAAAACCGTTAAAAGGTAATAGAAAAAACCATATACATACCTCAGGAGGAAAATGCGTTTCCTCCCTTGAATATTTAATGCCCTTCGCTTCGCGTCGGGCATCAAACTATTCACGGGAGGAAAAGCATTATTTTCCTCCTATGGTATGTAAATAGCTATTAAATTTAAATTTACTAATTTAACTATTTCATTCAGTGGAATTTGACTAATTATAATTGACTAATAATTATTAGTGACTGCTTTTTCGCTATGACAATTAGTCAAATATGACTTATAATTAGTTATTTTTGACTAATTCATTTTAAGAGAGTAGGCAACAATACAACATAATGTAAAGTGCAATTTTAATTTCAGGAGCAGCTAGCCAGAGAACGGACCGTATCGGGTCGAATACAAATTCAAGTATGGTATCACGACGAAAGAAAAGAGCTGGTCGTGGCAGTGCTGGCCGGAGACGATTTGGCACCGAGGGACGATAGCCTGGGCTTCGGGGCGCTGCCGGAAGCTTACGCCAGATTATGTCTGCTACCTTTAACGTAAGTCTTCCTGCAGTCTTATATAAATTCCGCTCACATGGCGAATTTTTAATCAAATCACTTATTGCTGAAGCCTTCAATCACAATTTGTCCGGTTTTTTATCAGTCACGGAATTCGTCTTTTAAGATTTAAATAACCTAGGTATGCTTTTTTCATTATTTACATTTTTTTTTGTATTTATGTTTATATTATGATATAAATTCTATACAATTTGTTATATGGGTGATTCTACAAAAGTTAGACAACTTGATGTCATCAATCAATAGAGAAGGTATTTTAATATTAAATATTAAAATACAAATTTTGTTGTAAATATTTCAGTATATTACAAAAGACCCAGGTTTTTTTTTAACTTGTCCACCCAATTTTAATGTATTAAGAAAATAAGAAAAAACATAATAAATATTCAAAACGTCAGTGCCACAACTCCTGAATATTTGAGTGATTTTATTTTAAAATATATTCAATTTATCTTAAATTTTTCAATTTCACTACAAACTATAAAACATTAAATAATGTATTTTTTATGTTTTATCATAGATTCGAATACAAGCATTTTTTTAAAAATTGATAATCTTTGTACTCACTTTTACCCATCCAATGTTAAAATTCAAAATTCCTGCAAAATATTGAAGTTTAAACTTTAAGTCCTCGTTTTAACTCAAGTGTTGGTAAAAAATTACCTACAGAGCACGCCCTTTGCACGACAGTCATCTTGAAAACAATGCAAGCGGCGAAGTTGTGGTGAATGCACGTATAGTTCCAGTCAAAATTTTAGTACTGTGGAGAGTAGTTATTTTCTTACGTATATATATTTCGTTGTAATTTATATAATGCTATATGTGATTTGTTGATAAGTAGCATCCACTAATAAAATATAGCAGTAAAATACTTAATTCCGAATTATAATCTCAAATTTGTATCCCATTTATCTGTACCGTGTAGTCAGTTCTATGTTCGATGTTTCGGTTATCTTTTTATCGCAAACTTCAATTTAAATTATGCTTGCGCAGAACTTGTTTATTTAATGTCATTATAAACTCATATAAATTTGGTGTGGGTCCCATATATAATAATTGAGATATCGGTATACCCAAAATCCACCAGCCGTGTGTGGTATTATTTATATTATTTAATATATAATATGCTCAAAGTCGCAATAAATCTTATATTTTCCAATAAATTATGTATTTAATTAGTACCCTGGTATACTCGTAACTTCACTTGCATTCAAATTTAGAAAACACATATTATTTCAGAAACTGTTTGAAAAAGTGACTGGCCCGGTCTGGAACAGTATATTTATTATATTATCTATGTTCTCATAACAAAATACTGTTTAATTTTCTCCGAAAACTATATAAACAAAATGAGGTCAAAAAGTGCCAAACTTTTGTAGAATCACCCATATTATACTATTTTTTGGCGGTTGTGTTGTTTTTTGATAATGTTTCATTGAAAACTTTGTTTGGTTGCTAGACGAAAAATAATTAAGTCCATTTTTACGTTTTCAATTTTAAATTAAAAATGTTTATGGTGGAAATATCACCCCCTGCATTAGCCAAAAATATCATCATACTATGACACTTGTAAGATTATACATCTGGTAGTTTCTACTTTTGATGGAATTTTTGACAAAGTGTTGCACAGTGCATTTTTTAGGAAGAACCTCATGGTGGCGACATGATCAGGACGTAAAAACTTATATATTTCTTACACATTTCAAAATCATTAATGGGAAGCCTTTATCCACAATGATGAAACTGCCAGCAATATTTGTTTTCGCGTCAGGGATTGAAACATGAAGGTTTTATTTCAAATATTTCAGGTTGCACTAATTATGGGCATTTCTGGTGCTCTATCGTCTAACTATTGGAATTATACCAGTTTTTCGAAAATTGTCGCTATTTACAGGGTGTTAAAAAAAGATGTTTTTTTCTAAAATTTCAAATTCCCATTTACAGGGCAGTTGAGCTTGAAAGTCGTAATACCCCTTCCTAATAACAGCTAGGTTATCCTACGGGACATTTTCGAGATTTTGTAGATATCTTGACTAGGGTTGGGAAAATTTCACTTTCTGCTTGTACTTGAAATTTCACTTGAAATTTTCATGACATTTATGAAATTTATTAAAATTTCCTAAATTTCTGAAATTTCATGAAATTTATTAAATTTATTGAAATTTATGAAATTTATTGAATCTTTCAATAAATTTCCATCACTTTAAGTGTAATATATTAATATTGAAATAAGCCCACTCGGGGACCATGGCAAATTGCCTCTCTTACCTCCTACCCCTCTGTGGACCCCTGCACCAATAAATAAATAGTAAATACCTATGTTTACCACAAATTTCTTGAGATTTCCTTTTAAAATATTTTTAAAATTACTAAAACTAAAAGAGATATAGCACTTTTTGGTAAGCTAATGAGATTGTGCCACTTTCATTGTTTTATATTTATATATATTTATTATTTTTAAATATTTTACTGAAATTTTACAAAAATTGAGGAAACTTCATCAAAATTTTATGAGCCAAAGGCATTTTTTATCCGTTTTCCGATGCAATTATAGCAAAAGTAAAAGTTTAAATTAATCATGACTTTTAAAAAAAATCTTAGTCTTATTTAATTTACAAATTAAATTCGTAACTGAATTAAATTATTTAAATTAATTTATGCATATAAGTAACAGTAATTACTTATAGTGTATTCAAATCCAAGGCGAACTAAACAAAAACGCCCAGACGCTTGATAACTCGTTCTTATTGGTCGATTCGGAATCTGTTATTATAATTAAATTATTATTAAAGGTCCCAGGGGAGGCCGCATGTGAAATTTATGCGAAATTTTCAGTAAATTGCGAAACTTTCAATGAAATTTTTGAAACTTTCACAGGCAATGTTGAAATTATCGGATTGAAAATTTCAGTTGAAATTTTTAAAAATTTCACTATTCCAACTAAATAAATGAAATATTTCAAGTTTGAAACTTTCAAAGTTGAAATTTTGACTAACTACGATTATATGGCAATTTTTCGAAAATTCACGTTATTCTTCATTTTAGTCCAAAAAATGAGCAATAGTTGATTCTTTGACTCTTATGTCTAATTTTGGGAATACGATATTGTGCACATAGCATGATACTACATGGTGTTAAAAAAAGAGATTTTTTTTTCAAAGTTTTAAATTCACACATTCACAGGGCAGTTGAGCTTGATAGTCTTAATACCCCTCCCTATAGTATACGATAGATCGCCAGGAATGCCCATAATTAGCTCCTGAATTATTTTAAATAAAGCCATAGGGGTAGCTAGCCCGTTTAAATTGGGGGGGGGCTCAGGCCCCAACTTACATATTACTGTTTTATGAAGAAAAAAAACGTAGCTTTTAAGTCACTTTCAGTAAATTCTTCCGGCAAACAGTTTTTGGTCACTAACATTTTAGCCCTTATTTTTAACAAATGTATAAGAAGTTTAAAAAAAAATGTTATATGGTGTATTAGGCCAACATTTTCTAGGTAACTCCTTTTTCTGTGTAATTTTTTCCTTAGGGGGGGCTAAGACCCCCCCAAGCCCTCCCCTAGCTACGCCTATGAATAAAGCCTTTGCTACGTTTAATAACAACTACATATATTATACCTTCATTATTAAGAACTTTTCATCGGATGCCCTGGCCCGGTATTGTAGGTTCGAGAAGTACTTTTCAAAAACAAAATCAAAATTTCGACGCTTATGAAGACGCAGACCCCTAGTAGAAATTTAAATGGGGAATCAGTAGGGCGCTAGCTAGTTTTCCCCAAATGAAACGAGGGCCTCGCTAGGAATCCCTACTAGTTTCCGACTAGTCATGTAATGCTTTTCCTGGTGGGGAACTACTGGGGAAAAGCTGGTAGGGAAAACTAGCTTAAAACTGGTTGGAAATATTTGTGAATTTTTTAACCAATAATAAAAGCCAGAAGCTAAAATTTTTTTATTAGATTTATATATTTACATTATCGTTCGATCACTTTTGGAATTATTATTGTCGGTTGTAAATTGATTTGGTATAACTTCTTGTGACAAGCCAAATTTGTTTGTTGCACCATGACTTGAAGTTAAATCACTATCAAGTTTTTCTGCACCATTGGAAGAATCTAACAAATAAATGGATAAATTAATACAACGGGTGAGTTTTAAGTAAAGCGGTTATTTTTAACAGCGTGTAGAAATCAAGTAGACAAACGAAACAGCCTTTTAAAGTATATCTGCCAATACCACACGCGCATAGTTTCTACCATCTGGTACCTACTGCGCATAGATGTCCGCCAATTCTCAATTTTGGTTTTAAAAAAATAAAGTTATTTGAAATTTCAACAAATTATGTTTGACCATTAATTTTTAAACGTCTGTTAAATATACCCCTCAACTTGAATCTCACTCAAAAAATAACCCCTTAATTTTTGCCCAAAAGTAAAAGAAGTTTTTATGAAATCTAGCTTAAGTTAAAGGTGTTTATTTAATTAAACAACCTGTATCTTCAAAACAAACATAATTCCTTAAATGTTTGTCCAAATGAAGCCTTGTAAATTAAATATACTTAAATATTAAAATTAAAAAAAAACTAAGGTTAGGTTTAAACTATAAAATATCTTTACACATAAAGCAATAACTTACCGTACCGTATACGGTAAATATATTTATTTAAACTTGCCTTAATTTCATTATCGTTTACACCAACCCATCGATCTTTTATCATTATTTTAATCATATAACAAACACAGCATTTAAACGTCAAAAAATGTAAAATCAAGAAAAACGTCAAAATCCTTAGTAACCTGTAAACAAGGAGATTTTCCCTACATTTCCTTACAAGTTTATGGTGAGGAAAACTTGAGTCAGCCTAGACTGGAATTTAATGAGGAAAACTAGATGTGAACTAGTCAGTCGGAGGCGAGTCACAACTAGGCAAGTTTTACTGGATAGTTTCTAGTCGGGGCCTATCTAGTATTTCCCTTTCTAGTTTTTCCCTATCTAAACCCAGCCAGCGCCCTACCAATAGTAAGGAAAACTGGACAAATTTCTACTAGGGACTTGTCATGAGCATCGAATATTTTTCCAAAATGAGGATGAAAATTTGTTCTTCATATTTAGGAAAGATATATGTCCTTCGTTATTGCTTTCGTATCTTGTTTTCTTCCAAAGAAATCAACTATTGATGCTGTATCTAAGTCTATTTAGTTTATTATAGAAAACCTTAAATCAAAGAACTTGGTAGCGGGCATCTCTTTTGATATTTCAAAAAAGAGCATCTTTTTAATATTTTTCGATAATATCATCTTAAAAATAGTTAAATTTATTTAATAAATTAATGTATGCATATTTAATATCAGTAAAACTTATAAAACAGGAAAATATATTTAGTATATATAGTAAAACAATACTAATAATTTATCAACAAAACTTATAAAAGAGGATGGGACAGTGAAACGATAAACATTTTTAAATTTTATTTATTAGCATGAGGTAATAAAAATTATAAAAAGCAAATTGAATTTAAACTGATAAATAGAGTGAGTCGCCTTTTTTAGAAATTAATTTGGTAATGGCAAAAATAATAATCTTTGGGGAAGAAAAACTTATTTGCAATTTTTGGACAACATCTTTAAAATTTAAGTAACAATTTTTTATCGCAATGATTATTATTTTTACACAAAATAATTTCGAAAAAAATTTGAAGGCAATTTAGGACATAGTTATTTACGTGTCAAGCTTTGTAAATGAATCTTTACGGGCGAGCTGGGAGTTTGTGGGGTAAGTGATGCAGGAGCGAACCCCATAATTCAGTGAGCCTAGTAAAGATTAATTGCAAAGCATGACACGTACAAACTTTTATTTTCACCTTAAGATAACGATTTTCAAATTTAAAATTTCAATTAATGTGTCAAATGCGTCATTTCATTTCATAAATTGCTTTTCTACAGGCCTGTAAAACTTTACAGGTCTTTTATACAAGCCCGTAAAATATTACAGGTCTGTTCCCATAATGTATCGTTTACTTGGATACAAAAACAACAAAATTAACCTATAAAATGTCATTTACTAAGAAGGTGGAAATAAATGTATTTAAAAGGTCGTTAAAAAAGACGTTGATAACTTTCAAAAATATTAACACCGATAAAATTCATATAATATACGAAGGAATATATTTTTCCAAGTTAACTTTTTTCACTTTGGTAGTTTCACCTATCTTATTTGTTTATTTGTTTAGTCTTAACACAATTTTGGAAAAAACAAAAATAATAATACTTACCGGCGTTTCCTTAATTTCGCAGAGAACCATACGATTCGCATAGCCCTCTCTCGCGTTGTCTCATTCTCGACCTCTCTGTCTAACAGTGACAAGTTTAGATCCACTCGTCAAAGGCATAATACGGCGCGTTACATTACCAGTCTTATGTATTATCATGGTCTAAACTTTTATGCTTGTTTTATTTGCTTCCTAATCCACAAGTACAATAAAAAACTATTATTTGATTTTAAATTTGATTAATTAAATATTTGTCATTTTAATAAAAAAAAATAAGATTTTATTTGATTTGACTATAGCAAGGTAGCCTTTAACTTTATTCAAGAATTAAGAATGTATAATGAATAATAAAAGTTCAAGTCCAAAAATTTAGTCAATGACTAATTACAATTGAGGGGCTTGGAAGTAAAACGGTTCAAGTGCATTTTTTTAAATAAATGGTCTAAGTGCAGAATATCACACCTAAAGAATATTCTAACTTAATGGTAAAATTATATAAGTACATTTTACATTCCCTGGCGCCATTTCTTATCGTCTTTAAAAACCTGTCAAAATATTTTAAAATATATCGTCGTTTATCTGACAAAGAGGCGTAACTCAAAAAAATTCGTTTTTGAGTTATACCAGAATGATCACCAAAATCGACTTTATAATCTCACAAACTGGCGTAGCTCTATAATAAATAGGTACAAATAAAGTTTTAGCATTAAGGAGTTTCGGCGTAACTAATATTTTTGCATTTTGTGTGCCGTACAAACTGGCGTAATTCAATTCACACCGTTTTGTTTAAAAATGAGATACGCCTCTTTGTCAGATAAACGACGATATCTTTGGTAAAACGATTTAAGTGCACCTTTTACTGCTATAGTTTATAAACATAGGCTATTATCTATGCTGCTAAAGCCTTGACAAGTATTTTAAAACATTTAAAGTGTTTTCACAAATATTTTTCAGTGTTAGTCCCTACTGACATTGATCCGACGCGTCGGAATAGAATCGGCCATAGGATGTCGGCCAGCAGACGTCGGACGTATGTTCGCACAAGCGATTCTGATTATGAATAATACTTTTTGTTGTAAAACTTACCCAAATTTTAAAAAATAAAGTTTTGTTCTAGTACAGTAATTGCATTTAAATCATTTTACCACTAAATTTTGTCTTACATGCATTACGATTTAAGTACATTTTTGTAAAAAAAATTAACAAAAAAGCTAAATTGAAAAATTTCTTTTTCTTTTTAATCCTTTTTTGTCTTTAAACAAAAATAAAATATTCACACAGTTTTTTAAACTCTTTTCTAGAATTTTAAAATTCAAGTTAACTTTAAAGCCAATTATCTCAGAACTAACAAAAATGCACTTAAACCCTTAGTTATTTTTTTATCTGGACTGCGGCAACGTTGCAAATTTAGGGTTTTGGTTGGTAAATACAGTTGTCAAGTTGGTCGCATTGATTAAAACAAACTAAGCTAGTTATAAATCTAATTGTGGTTATGTATAAATTATTGTAGGTTACATTGTGCAGTTGTTAAGTTGAGTTGTCGAAATACGTAGTTAAAAATGCAATTAATTTGGCTTTGGTGGTGCTTGGATGAGTAAAATCATATAAAAAAGTAGTAAATTAAGCTAGTTATAAATGTAATTGTGCTTATGTATAAATTATTGTAGGTTACACTGTGCAGTTGTCAAGTTAAGTTGTCGAAATTCGTAGTTAAAAATGCAATTAATTTGGCTTTGGTAGTGCTTGGATAAGTAAAATCATATAAAAAAGTAGTTCAATATAGGTTGCTTTGCGGCCCAGAAGAGAAAGTATTCCTGGCGAATAATCTTCGCTTTGAAAAGAATTTAGATATATAAAAGAAATTAAAATTTTTTGTGAACGTAAATGTTGTCCAATGGTGAATAATGTGAAAATAATGTGTGATGTAATATTTATAAAACCAAATTCGTTACTTTTTTACTCCAAAAATGTCCATAAGGCGATTACTTTTTCTTCCATTGACAAATAAATTATCAATAATAAATATTGTCAATTTGTCAGTGTCAAAGTATTTAAGTAATTAAATTCTTTAGCAGAAGTACAATTTTTAAATACTAAAAATACTAAGTCAAACTGGCATAAGCCACCAACCTTACAAAAAAACACGAGTCCAGATAAAAAAAAATGAACTGTAGGTAATTATTCTTATTATGTCAGCAAAGTAATTTTTTTTAAGTTTATTTTTTTTTAACAAAATAAAATTCATAGAGTGCGGACATTTCCGAACAAATACTTGATCGTTTTCATGGAACAACAAGTAGTCTAGGGGTATTTTCAAACCGTACTTGAGATGCGGATAAAAAAAGCAGGCCTGCAAACTGTCAATAATGGGAAAGACTTGGGTCTGACCTCACTATCGATAAATAGAGGAAACAGCTATAGGAACGAAATTGTTGTAGAAAGCCAATATTTGATTTTGTTACTTTTATTCGCAGAGACAGTAAATTCCAAGAATCTTATTTTAAGATAAAAAATAACTCTAATTTTAAGTTAATTAAAGTGCTTGGGAAATAAAGTTATTTATTTTTATTCCTTTGGAGAGGAAATTGCAATTCTTTAGTTGATTAGCTACCAAAATACACAATTTTTATGTAATTAAGGTAGTTGTCGTGGTACAATATTGTCAAAAATTAAACGCACCGTACAAGTATACGAGCTTGTAGCTAAGTGAATCATAATTTATTCGCAAGACTGTACCCTGGAGACGTTACCTTTACGTAATACTTTCAAATATATATTATATATTATAAGTTTTAATCCGGCAACTTCGCTTATGCTCAACCAATAGATATATTGGAGACTGAATCAGTGTTTGAATTTACTGCGGAAATAATATCTATATTCGCGTACAGCGTTGCCAAGTTGTTTTTATCTGACACTAGTTTTACAAATTGTTGAACTTTAAACGGTTATTTATAAACAATTGGACGGTCAAAAATTTTTAATTATTTTTTTTTAAACTCAGCAAAAATACATTAAAAAACTGTTAGTTTTTTGAAAGATTCTGACAGTTAGTTTTTTTTTATAACTAAGAAACTGGTACAGAACTACAGAAAGCGTATACAATCAATGTTAATTATCCAATTTTTAATTGAATTTATCTCGGGTTATAGACGGTCAATCGACTTCAAATTTTAAGGATAATTGTATTGTCATGTCCTTAATATGTATACAAAAATTTAAAATTTTCTGATGGTATGCTTACAGCACGACAACTACCTTAAGTTCGGTTTTGTTGTTTATTTATGTTTTATATAATATTGTTGTCATTCAGATATTTTGCCATTGGTTATATAAACTGGTTAATTTAGGATTTTTTGTAAATACCTTGCACTAACTTCTGTATCATTCTTAGCACTGAGGAACATTGCGTGCAAACGGAAGTAGCTCCGGCAAGTCAAAATCCAATATGGAACGCAAACCTGAGTTTTCCGGGCGTTCCGGGAGAAGAACTGCTCGATAGATACCTAGAACTAACAATATGGGACTTGATCCCGCACAACGAACACGCCTTCCTAGGCGAATGCTCCGTGGACTTACAAAAGGCCTTCTTGGATGACCGCGCTGTGTGGTGCAGACTCGAAGATCCAAGACAGCTGCGAGGCAAGTCCCCGCACAATTCGCCAAGAGGATCCATTGCTGGTAAGAGTTTTTCCACAAGATTTTTCTTTTAAGCCAAAAAAACGTTGATGTTAGGTTCCGGGAAAAGAAACGACTTCGGCAATCAAAGAAGTGTCTCTGACGACGTGGATTCCATTGGCGAATGTGCGAGTTTATTGCACCCTGACCACGCTTGGGGATCGAGAAGAGGATCATCTCAATCAGAACAGCTGGAAGTGGAAGTCTACCAGTTGGGCAAAGACTTCTCCAGGTCGCTACCAGGATCCAGAAGATCGTCTTTCCAGTCGGCGGAAGAGCAAGCAGCAGCTGAAGCTGCAGCTGTTCCGCCGCCTCCTTCGTACAGCAGAGACAGAAGGCGTAGCAGCTGCACCAGGATGCTGAGAGATCCCGAGGAAATTTTGAAGTCTTTAAAAGCTGTGAAAGGAGAGTTGGGTCGAACTATGAGCTTGGCTGGAGAGAAACGGCATAGACGTAAGTTTGTTGCTATTCTTCTTGAATTACTAAGTGTTTATACATTAGTGCACAAATATACATTTCCAAATTAATACTTGCAAACTTCCAAAACGCTTTTGTGAATTTTGATACTTTAATCACGGTGGGTTCAAAAATGAACATTCTTATTTTTTGTTTTATATTATTTCATTTAGTATTTTTGTAAATATATATTATAAAAAACGATACATTTAGATTGCATTTAAACAAAATATTTAAGGGTACACGCTAAAATGATAAGAACAACAATAAAGTAAGAAGGATAAATTAAAATAATGAGAGGCTTAAATCATAAGGCCAGCTAAAATGATGAAGACAAGCTAAATTTAAGTGCTAACGACAAAGTAAAATTGACGATAAGCTGAAACAATGAGGATAAGCTAAAATGATGACGAAAATCTAAAGTTACAAGGATAACCTAAAATAAAAATGACAAGATAAAATAACATCGAAAAGCATATAGCAATAAGCTTAAATTATGACTAGCAATAAAAATAAATTCAGAATAAAGTAATGATAAACTAAAATGCTAAGCTAAAAGCCAAAATCCTAAAACTATTACTTAAAATCATCAAAACAATAACACAACATTAAAACAATAAAAATTAAAGATTAAAACATTAAAACATTAAAACAATAAAACATTAAAACATTAAAACATTAAAACATTAAAACATTAAAACATTAAAACATTAAAACATTAAAACATTAAAACATTAAAACATTAAAACATTAAAACATTAAAACATTAAAACTATAAAACATTAAAACATTAAAACATTAAAACAATAAAACATTAAAACATTAAAACAATAAAACATTAAAACATTAAAACATTAAAACATTAAAACATTAAAACATTAAAACATTAAAACATTAAAACATTAAAACATTAAAACATTAAAACATTAAAACATTAAAACATTAAAACATTAAAACATTAAAACATTAAAACATTAAAACATTAAAACATTAAAACATTAAAACATTAAAACATTAAAACATTAAAACATTAAAACATTAAAACATTAAAACATTAAAACATTAAAACATTAAAACATTAAAACATTAAAACATTAAAACATTAAAACATTAAAACATTAAAACATTAAAACATTAAAACATTAAAACATTAAAACATTAAAACATTAAAACATTAAAACATTAAAACATTAAAACATTAAAACATTAAAACATTAAAACATTAAAACATTAAAACATTAAAACATTAAAACATTAAAACATTAAAACATTAAAACATTAAAACATTAAAACATTAAAACATTAAAACATTAAAACATTAAAACATTAAAACATTAAAACATTAAAACATTAAAACATTAAAACATTAAAACATTAAAACATTAAAACATTAAAACATTAAAACATTAAAACATTAAAACATTAAAACATTAAAACATTAAAACATTAAAACATTAAAACATTAAAACATTAAAACATTAAAACATTAAAACATTAAAACATTAAAACATTAAAACATTAAAACATTAAAACATTAAAACATTAAAACATTAAAACATTAAAACATTAAAACATTAAAACATTAAAACATTAAAACATTAAAACATTAAAACATTAAAACATTAAAACATTAAAACATTAAAACATTAAAACATTAAAACATTAAAACATTAAAACATTAAAACATTAAAACATTAAAACATTAAAACATTAAAACATTAAAACATTAAAACATTAAAACATTAAAACATTAAAACATTAAAACATTAAAACATTAAAACATTAAAACATTAAAACATTAAAACATTAAAACATTAAAACATTAAAACATTAAAACAATAAAACATTAAACCATTAAAGCATTAAAACATTAAAACATTAAAACATTAAAACATTAAAACAATAAAACACTAAAACATTAAATCAATTAAACAATAAAACAATAAAATAATAAGACAATAAAACAATAAAACGTTAAAACATTCAAAAGTTCAAACAAAAGAAATTAAGCATTAAAACAATAAAACATTTAAAAATTTAAAATAAAAAAAAATAAACATTAAAACGTCAAAATATTAAGCATTAAAACATTAAAACGTTAAAACATTAAAAAATTCAAACAAAAAAGGATTAAACATTAAAACATAAAAAACATTAATGCAAGTCTTAAAAACTTTAAACATTAAAATATTAAAAGATTCAAACATTAAAAAATTAAAACATTAAAATATAGAAAATAAACATCAGAAAAAACTTGGTAGGTAATGTAAGATGAGTAGAGATCGGAAAAAGGCTAAAAATGCACCAAAAGGCAATATTAACAAATTATTTAAATTAATAAAACAACTAATTAACCAATGCATTTTTGTTGGTTTTGTCGGTTTATTTGCCATTAAAGTAGCAAACAATGATTTTTTCGACATTTTCTCCTGTTAAATTATGTCGTTTATCCGATATGTTTTTTAAGTCGAAAAAGAACACACACATAAATAACCATACATTTACGCATAGGTCTGTTATTTAAATCAGTGTGTTTATATATTTTGGTTCAATGCTATGGTCGGCGCTTCGTTGTGTCTATTTTACTATATTTACAATAAGGTTTAAATTTTAAATTAACTTTACACAACACAAAATTCTTCTTATTATTAATAATAAATAAGTATTATAAAATAAAAAGTAAAGAAATTAAAAGTTCATTTAGGGGCCCAGCGTGAAAGTGCTTTTAATAATCTCAACTTAATAAATGCATTTTTTATTGATGAACACAAAAAGGCCGTCGTAACTGCGGGGGTGGATGCATGCTTTATTAACTTTTTAAAGGTTTAAAGTAAAAAAGTTGGGTATATTTCCCGAATAAATTTGAAAAGGGGCATTATGGAAATTACAGAGGAGTTGCAAATGGAAAAGTTGACTTGTTATATCAGCACATTATGCTTATTTTTTAATGGTAAATCTTAGTTTACCTCCCAATTCTTTATCATTTTATGCGAAGAAAAAGCTTTTAAAAATATTATTATTAATGGGTTAGTAAGTCAAGGTCCATTAAAACTTTTAACTGCTAATTGAAGTCCAAAAACTTCCTAACCTTTACATAATTTTTACATTGATTATGCCGTTATACAAAAGCTAACAAATGGTTTTAATTCAGCAAATTTTTCAGTTTTATTGCTGTTTTGGGAATTATTTTTGCTTTTCCTTAATTAAAAACTTTAATACGATTTTGGAGATTTATAATTTCGTGTTTTTTTAAATTTTTATGTATAAATGCAGTAACCAAGTATTTGCATTAAAATTAATGTTTACACAAATCGAAAAATCTGTGATTTATATGAAATATATATATATATATTATACGCCATTACGATATGGGTGTCAGATGTGTTAAAATAATTGTTAAAAAAAACTTCATCATAACTCTTTCCTTGGGACGGATGGTAATTTATTTAAAAAAATCACATAATCTAAACGTTGGCTGTATAATGTTGGCAATTGTTTATAACGCGTTGAGTTTTTATGCGGCCGACCCCTAATTTTTCTTTCCTGTATAAGGGTTGATAAAGCATATCATATTTTATTTTTACACATTATCTTCATTCTTTCGACCCTTTTTTCATTTACATCGTTTATATTATTAAATTACCCCATAAAGTAAAGTTTTTTGTGAGGTATAATGCGTTTTTGAAGTTTGAACAATATTTTCACTAGTAGGTACTCTAATAATATTCCTTTCTCTTCTACACACCTTGTACATTTAGCGGAACTATAGCCGCAAGTGGGTAAGATTTTCACTAATCAGCACGTGTTTTACCCCACCATAACCACCACCGCCACCACCACCAAAAGATTCCTTCATTCATTCTTTTACTGTATACTGTAACTCTGTATATTTAAAGACGTTAGTGTGCTTATGTTTTGTCTCTTTCTGGCTTCTAAAGTCTTGATAGTTTGTAATCATATGTAGATGTTACATGTTTCTACAACCATTAATGTTTTCATCATTTTTTGGTAATTGTTTTGTGTAATATATAAATGTTTACTGGTTATAACATTACATACACACAACTTTACACAATACATTTACATAATAATAGTGAATAACTATTAGTTATATAAGTAGTTCTTATAGTTATTAAAATTTAGATTTTGATGCAACCGTAGAAATTTAAATTAGGTGGAAATTTTTCTGCTTATATTTGCTTAATGGCGTTTTAGTCACGGGCTAAAATTAGTTGTCATACAATCGTTAAAATAAAGTGCCCTTCTTGTAAAATAATGATGTGGAAATTATTGTATTATCTTAAAAAAAAAAATATTAGTATACATATTATGTAGGTATTAAGTTTAATAAACCCCATTTTAGTTACGATTTTAATTAGGCACAAGCGAGCTTACAAGCGAGTGTTAAATTAAATAAGTGTCTAAAAAAGTTTATACACGCTAATACCTATTTGCAGTGATGTAACCGATACATTTTTTTCAGTATCTAGGTACCGATACAGATACTCTCTGGTAGATGTATCTGGGTACAGATACCGATACATTTTCCCAAAAGTATCTGGGTACAGATACAGATACATTCAAAAAGTATCTAAGTTACTTCCAGATACTATGTTAAAAAAACTTAAAAATTAAATAACAAAAAAAATTTTTTTGGATCTTATAAACAAGCGTGTTAACTATAAAATAAAACTGTTTTGATAAAATTGACGAAATATCCATGAAAAACGGAAATAAATTTTATATTTACGCGCCATATGAAAGCTTACTACAAAATTTGTAGTACAAATTCAAAATTATCAGAACGAAGAAAAATGCCTTCAAAGCCAACTATAGGTAACCTACAGCGCTTTTGTTTAACTTTACTCACTAGTGCCTAAGAGTTACTTTTTGCACTTCGCACTCCAAAGTGGGTTGAAGGGAAAAAGAAATAAAATATCTTTTTATTATTTGTATTGTTCATCTCTTACGGGAGATATCAAAAATATCCAATGTAGGTATATATCCTGGATATCCATAGAGTAGGTATATCCATTGGATGTTCATTTTCCGTGTGGCCCACACGGTGTGGAGTTGCAATCAGGTTGGGTAAAATAAAATGTATCTTGTATCTAAGGATCTAGATACTTTCAAAAGGATCTAGATACTAAAGTAGATCCTGATTTTTTTAAGTATTTCGATACGTATCTAGTTACATAAAATGTATCTAGATCCAGTATCTAGATACATGTATCTCGATACATTACATCACTGCCTATTTGAAAAGTTTATATGCAAGTTTGTATCGACCTTTTTATTTTGCCGGCAATGAACTAGATTTAACTGAAAGCATTAAACATGTCGGGTGAAGACTCCTGTGTGCCCATAAAACATTCTCTTCACTTTCACTGTGAAAAACTGCTTCTATATCATCATTTAAACGGTTGTTAGTCCAATTTCAAGGAATACATTTTGGTTTCCACATACAAATTTGACATTTTGACCGGCACGCCTTTAATACAGATTCCCATGTTGGAAATTGTTACTCCAGTTACTCTATTTTTCTATGTCGCTCCATACACATATTAAATTTAAATCATTTTAAGATAATAAGTATTTGTCGTAGGAAAAGTATATTATGCAACTCGTTTATATACTTTTCATATAATTAAACACTCGCTCAAAAGCTCAATAGTGCCAAATTAAAATTCGTGACTAAAATGGCGTTTATCAAACTTATAATAATATACAATTTTGATACTAACAATTATTTATTAAATATTAAAGAACAAGTTAGGCTCGCCAATGGCACTTAAAATTAGTAGTAGTTTTTTTAGTACAGGTACATGCTCAAATTAAAATAAGAATAAAAATGTCTAGGTACCATATCATTATAAATAAAGAGTCTACTAACAATTAAAAAAAAATCATCAAAATCGCATGCCAAGTTCTGGTGGCCGGGTTTTTTGTGAAATATGAAAATTATTAGCAAAATTTATAATAATAATTAGCTATTTGTGTACCAAGGCCAAACAATGACTTTTTAATAAGCGATTTTAATACCTACTAAATTATTTTAAGCAACATTAATTTCCTACTTTCCTATTACTATTTTTCAAAAATTATTTATTTAATTGAATAAACTTAACTTACGCAAGACGGAATTTAACATTTTTTTATTGTGAAAGGTAACAAAATTATAAAAATGCATTTATACAGGTAATAATTACGCACGCCCGCGGGCGCCCACTTTAAAGTGGCAAAAGTAAAAAAATCTCAAAACTGCTTTTTTACTTGTGTCACTTTTGAAGCGGGTTTCCGATACAATTGTGTTTTAATTTTTATTATTAGTAAGAACTTATGCAAGCTGTAAAAAATATGTGGTTAACAGAGCTGGGAGTATCTTGAAAAAAAAGATACTTAAAAGTAACTTAGATACTTAAAGTATCTAAGATACTTTATCTTCGATACTTCTTATATTGGACAGAAAGTATCTTTAACTTAGTTACTTTAGAAAAGTATCTTGTAACTTGAATCTTATAATAGTATATTATGTATCAAGTTTGATAAACGCCATTTTATAGAAGAGTTTATAAACGAGGTGCATACTATACTTTTTCTACGACAAATACTTACTATTATCTTAAAATGATTTAAATCGAAAATTTGTATAGAGCGCCATCTATGAAACAATAGGGGAGTCTGTGTGTCACCGTCAAATGTCATTTTTACATTTTATAAACACAATTATAAAGGTTATAAATCGAAATGTATTTCTTGATAATTGACAGTTTTTTACAGTGAAAGTAAAGAAAATGTTTTATGTGCACTTTACAATGGAGTCCGTGCCCGAATTTAAGTTATAGTTTACTGCCGGCGAAATTAAAAGGTCAGTACAATGTTCATATAAACTTTTCAAATATTGGCCTTGAGAAACTATTTAATACTTTTGTATTTTTGTATTGAGATAATAAAATAATTTTCACAGTTAGTATTATTTTACAAGAAGGGCAATTTATTTTAACGATTGTATGACATTTGACAACTGTCAACTAACTTAAAACTAACTTCAGCCCGTGACTAAAAACCTCTTGCTAACTTCAGCCCGTGACTAAAGCGCCATAAAGCCAGAACTTATCAATGTGTATTTAAAAGGTCACTTAGTGTCATGGAAACATGTACGATAAAGGGCGTTTTAAAGGTGGGAGTAGAAAAAGGTATATAAATACCTTGTGCGTGACTTATACTTTGAAAAACACAATAATTTTGAAAAAAACTCAAAAGAAATCGTAGTAAAACACCCGTGCATAGCATATGCCAATGCAAATTTGTTTGTAACATTTGAATCTGGTTCACACGTGACGTCACATGCGCACATCGACGAGTTTTCGTTTCATAACCGGTGTTTGTGTATTGTGCTTTAAAGTAGAAATATCCCGGCGCATTCGCCATTTTTAAAGCAATAATGTTTACCACTAGATTTTCATGAAACATGTCAAACATTAATATTATTAGTATTAATATTAGTTTAGTAAAATAACATTTAATCATTAGGTATATTTTAAGTAAATACTAGTAAAACTGTAAGCTATACCTAGATACCTACCACTAGAGATGCGATTTGAAAAAAAAACGGTCCCTTTTTTTTTGTTTTTTTTTTCATTGTTTTTGTCAAATGGTTTTTTTCAAGATTAGTCCCATTTGCCTAATTTTCCAGTTTCCAGTCCTGTTCATGGACTAAAATTAGCCAATAAATGACATTTAGTAAATGTAAATACAGTCTCGCGCTATGCACGCGCCACCACCACCGAATTGACCAATATGGGCCGCGCTTGTTTTGATTTGGTCCTAAAAAAAGTAACTACCTATAATATTTTTGATTCAGCGCTTGATTTTTCAAAAAGCTACCGAAAGCTCATTTTTCATGATTTTTCAAATTCATGTAGAGTATGGAAATTTTTTTTTCAAAAAAACAATAGCAAATTCTTGTACAACATTTATTCATTGGTGGTTAAGTCAGAACATTCCGTGGACCAAAAAAGAAAGCCAAAAATTTTTTTTTTATTACGGTATTCGTTAGGATTGAGCGTTGCACGTTTTTCATATAAAAATCTCAAAACTAGAAACTTCAAGCTTCAAATTGCTTTTTTTACGGCTTCAATACGACCATTTTTAACAAAGATACAGCTATCCGAAAAATCGCAAAAAATTTTTAATTTTTTTTTATCCTTTAATTTTTTCTATTAGCGTAGAAGTTTTACATTGCTATTGGTTTTTTATGTGGAAACTACCAGATAATAAGAAATCAGATTTTTTAGTCTCCGTCAAAATTTTCAAAAATGAAAAATGTAATATATTCTACATTTCACTTTATTCATATATTTCATTTCATTTTGAAAAATTACTCCATTTTTTAAGATTGATGTTATTTATTCTAGCTGATTTGAAAAAAAACAAAAAAAAACCGTTTTTACATCTCTACCTACCACACAAGATAATACAATGGACTATATGTATCACACAGTAGTAAAAGGTTTAAAAAACAAGTTTTAAATTTTTCACCAGGCTCTACAAGCGGCGCATCAGGCCGCAAAGACAGCGTCATGGAAATCGTGGAAACGCCAAAGGAAATGAGCCCCCCTTCGAGCCCCGAGCGCACCTCGCCCCCGCATCTCGGCCCCGGCCAAATTAAGCCGCGCGGCTTCCGCCTATCGTCGACGCGCCCCGTCGAAATCAAACTCGGCCTGCTGATGACCAAGGGCCAGCTGGAGGTGGAAGTCGTGTCCGGGCGTCACATCGCGCCGCGCGAGACGCCGCCCGACACCTACGTGAAGTGCTACCTGCGCGACGGCGACCGCTGGCTGCAGAAGAAGAAGACGCGCGTGGTGCGGCACAGCTGCGAGCCGCAGTTCCGGCAGACGTTGAGGTATCAAGCGTGCGACGTGCTGGGCCGCAGCTTGGTGGTGATGCTGTGGGAGAGGCAGGGCGGCTTCGAGCACAATCAGGGCATCGGCGGCGCAGAGGTGGCCCTGGATTCGCTCACTCTCACTCACCTGACGATCGGTTGGTATCCGCTGTTTCCTATTCACTCGCTCGGCTCTGACTCCAACGATTCGCCTTGACCTGCTACGTCTCCTCCAGACGATTCTGATTAAGCAACAAAAAAAATTCATTTTTGTTTATTTACAAGCAATTGTTTAATAATTTGTGAAGGGTATAACAACAACACTTTTGAATAAAAAAAAGAATATTTTAAATTATTTTTCAGTAAAAATGCTGGTATTGAACATAAAAAACTATGTTACTTAAATGGCCGTTGACTGGACTATATATTTGCTATTTACACCGAATCACACAAGGACGGCCAAATTATGATGTTCAAAATTCCGTTTTTACCACTGTACTACACTTTTTTTAATCAAAATTTAGGTTATCGTTGGAAAACTATTTATTAACATTACAACGCAAAGTAACAGTTTCTTCCATATTATAGAATTTTCTTATAGATAGCACCGAGCTGCAATTTTTTTGTAAAAAGTAGTTGAATTTAATATATTTTTCTGTTGTTGTTATGAATTTTTAATTTTATTGCAATTTTAATGTTATCCTTAAAAAACTCTATTTGTTTTACAAAAAACTAATATATATCACACTTTAGTAGCTATAAGGCTATTAAAATAAAAAAATCTTTTAGTTATTTTTTTAATTTAATAACATAAAAACTATCTAATTTAAAATTATTGATAATTTCAATCATTGATCAAGTGGATCCATGGACCAAAAAATGTTGTACGTTCATTGTTAGATTGTTTTTTTATCAGCGATTAATTAAACACAACATGTAATTAACGCGATGTTAGGTAGATTATTATGTAAAAATATATAAGGGGCAAAGTTTCTTAAATGAGCCAACCAAAGTAATTTTTTGTTTGTTTTTGCAAATTTTGATTTGTTATGCTTTTAAAATAAGAAACATGAAATTTTTTTTTAGGTTACAATCAAAGTTTTGAGACTTTTTTTTAAACAAATATTTTATAAGCGCTTTGTCTAAACTTAACTTGTAAATCACGTATCACAAATTGTGTTACGTCAAAATTTGTATACAATCGGTACCTCAGAGTGACAATATTAAATATTGCTGATAGGGCATTTTCGCCTAACATGGCAACTGCACTTAGAACCTTGTAATTAAAAGTTACCGAAATATTGATGGTCGTACTTTTTTGTTGATGATAATAATCATAACTATAGTTTTTACTGACTAAATTTGTAGACTAAAAGACATATGGCAACTCTGTATACAAATATTGGAATGTAAAAAAGAAAACATAATTTTGGCATTTTATAATACATATTAGAAAGTCAACTCCCTTTGAAAAGCATTGCTGTTTAGATTCCCTGTTTTGGGCGGTGTTTTCTTGTGACGTAATCTTTTCTTTCCAAAATATTGGTTTTACCCGTTTTCTTTTTACCACAAATGTCAAATTTAACGAGTTTTGATTGGTCAGCCGAAAATCGAGAGTGCTTAAACCACACTTACAACTCGAAGTCTATCCTGTCTCTATTTGTACATATATCCTTGATCCACGCCCAAAAGTAATTTTTAGCCCCAAATTTTGTGTGCACAATTTTGATGCAGAATATAAAAATTCAGAGTTAAAAATGTAATAACTAATTTCATCGAAAAAAATTCTTTTTTCTTTTTTAATTTAATATACATATTTAACAAGAAATATTAATGAAAAAATACATTTTAAACCTAACCCAAGCCTGTATATTAACATATTTCGAAAGACATTTTAATTTAGAACAAAAAATTATTCAATAAGCACTTGAACTTTCTGATTGTTTTTTAAATAAAGTAATACCTAATTTGGTTATTTCAACAACCGTCAGAAAGTTCAAGTGCTTATTTATTGTTTATTTTTAAGTTAATTAACTTAAGGGTGGTAAGGCAATAATAATAACGGAGAAATGTAGCAATGGTAAGAAAATAACTTTGGACACGGTGTAAAGTGTTTTTGCAAGTTGATTAAATTTTAGACATTTGTACTATTTAAGAAATTTTATTGGTTTGAGGTAAATCAGGTAGCCTGTGACTTTAGCCCTGAACTAAAAATTTAAAATGCATCACAAAATGTCACAAAAGTCAAAACTATATATTTTCTTTTAATAATTCAATTACTACCTATTAATTTATTATTATTAATATTCAATTAATACTTGTACTATCCATTTTTTAATTAAAACAAATATATTATGTATAAAATATTAGATTGTACTAAAATTTGAATTAACAATACGATTTATTAACTACATAAAGTTTTTTTTTTTATCTGGACTGCGGCAACATTGCAAATTTAGGGTTTTGGTTGGTAAATAAGGTTGTCAAGTTGGTCGCATTAATTAAAACAAACTAAGTAAGCTAGTTATAAATCTAATTGTGGTTATGTATAAATTATTGTAGGTTACATTGTGCAGTTGTCAAGTTGAGTTGTCGAAATTCGTAGTTAAAAATGCAATTAATTTGGCTTTGGTGGTGCTTGAATGAGTAAATTCATATAAAAAAAGTAGTTAAATATAGGTTGCTTAACGGCCCAGAATGGAAAGTATCTCTAGCGGATAATAATCTTTGCTTTGAAAAGAATTTATATAAAAGAAATTAAAATTTTTTGTGAACGTAAATGTTGTCCAATGGTGAATAATGTGAAAATAATGTGTGATGTAATATTTATAAAACCAAATTCGTTACTTTTTTACTCCATAAATGTCCATAAGGCGATGTACTTTTTCTTCCATTGTGGCATTTGGCATAATTTTATCAAAATGAAGTTTTGCCCTCAAAAGGGCTTTTACATTCGAATTTGTTGCTATTATTTTTGGCATAATTATCTTTTTATTTATAATTGAGAAGTAAATTATCAATAATAAATATTATTGTCAATTTGACAGTGTCAAAGTATTTAATTAAATTCTTTAGCAGAAGTACCATTTTTAAATACTAAAAATACCAAGTCAAACTGACATAAGCCACCAACCTAACAAAAAAACACGAGTCCAGATTTAAAAAAATGAACTGTAACTTTATGCGATTTAAAATGACATACAGTGTTGACATATGTCCAAAAATTTAGTTTTGTGGATACGGCCATGAATATTTTGAAAACCAAAATTTTAATATTTATTGATAAAATTAATTTACCCCTATTTGACTGCTCAAACTATGTAACGTTAAGAAGTTTTCAATATTCGTTATGATATATTGATTTTATTAATATTTAATAATATTTGTCTTATGATACCTGATTATTACAATTTATTATTTTATAAAAAAATTGACAATTAACATGTAAAGTTTTGACAAATCGTTCATGAAATAATTATGTTTAAAAAACATGCTCTAAATTTCAATTGTTTGTTAACTTTAGGGTTTTTCTTTTGGAGGCATAACGAATTGAAAACTGAAAAAAACTAAATATTACAACTTCAGTTTTTAAGTGGTTCATTTGAGGAATTTTAACAAATAACATATATAAATGTAAGAGTAATTGTGCTACACCAATGTATATAAACATATATAATTATAATTAGAACAAGTAGGTAGATTAACAATGTAATGTAAATGGAATTTTGTGCTTCTGATGAACAGATAAGCTCAAGTAAAATTTGTATAACTTTTTCTAACTATAATCATCAGTCATGATTCATGGCGTAAATGTAATAAACTGTTTTTAACTCACAGCATATCTAAAATAACTGTCATATCTTTAATAAGAAAATTAAACTCTACATCTTTTAAAATATCCCGGCGCATTCGCCATTTTCTGTCACATTTTTACTAATCACATCCCACAATAAATAGTTTATGCCACTAATATACCTGTTACCTTTACTCCTCTTAATATTAACTTTTAAAGGTGGTTATCAACTTTAACCCTTCTTTAATATTCTTTCAGCTGTTTTACATATAATTTTATTTGTTTGACACATACATACGTTTGAAACTAAATAAAAATTGTTAAAGCTAAAAACATAAATTTATAGCAGTTAAATGGTATATAAATATCCACGTTAGTAATAATAAAATATAAATAATAATATTAACATTACCCATGTAAATTATAAATAATTTTGACTGGCTAAAATAGAAAAATTTAAATATATTTACCCATCAAACATAATTAGTCTTAACTAATGGTTTAACTTATACCTAGCTTATAAATACTTTATAATAATATTTAAAAAAGTTAAGTTATAGAAATTTAATTTATTTTTATAATTAATAGCATATTTTTCGTAACGTGTACATTAAATACCTTTTTTACAAAACCAATAGGTTTTTTCATTATATTTATTTCTTAGATCTTTTTAGTAGATTATTTGAAATAATTTATTTTCACTTTAAAGTAGTATAATTTGTAGATTAACCCCTCTATAATAAAATACATGGAAAACACCAAATAACTTCTTAAATCTAATATAGATCTTTGTCTTAGCTTTACAACCAGTGGTTGATGTTTTAATAAGACATGTCGTCGTTTACGCACATTTTAAAAAACGTAAATTATTTGTATTACATGAATGCAACATATAAATTTTGTTTATTAAATTAACTAAATTTTTATTCAAAAAAAGTTAACTATTATTGTTAATTTTAGTTTAGTTCAATTAACAAAAATGTATTTGTAACATAACATTATTATTATTATTGATTTGTAATTTTGGTAGCCTACATTCGAGACAAACAGGGCTCGTCCTATAGAACAGAAATACTGGGCTTTCAGTCTTTCATATTTCCTGCAATTTTGAGAATTAAAAAAATGGTATAGGAGAATTTGTGGAAGTATACCTAGCAGTTCTTTAACTTTTATTTTAATATTTTGCGATACCTAGTAGGGGTAGTAGGGGGAATATTTGAATTTACAAATTATTCGAAACGAATAGTTTTGAATATACGATTTAAATCGGAAGAATTCAGACCATTTTTGACATCTATCATCTGCCATTTTTTACATTTCGGTGCAGCTGCACTGTTAAGCGAAAGTGACTTATCTATAATATTAAATATTGCAGATAAGGCATTTTTGCTTAACACTGCACCTTCATTCTTGTCACCGATTTTTATTATGTCGTTCGTCATTTTTGACAGATGCCATGACATGACATGTCATTATGTCATAAAATCTGTCGTTATTGGCAAATTATTAGTAATTTATTGACTTGTCGT